GATTAAATGTATAAAAATTGCAATCAAAATTACGTATATAATTTAATGTTTATATGTTAAAATGCAACCAAAAATAATGTATACAATATACTGATTAGACGTAAAAAATGCAACCAAAAATAACATATACAATATACTGATTAGACGTATAAAATTTAACAATAATTACGTATACATTATACTGATTAGACATAAAAAATTTAACAAAAATTACATATACATTATACTGTTTAGACGTAAAAAATCCAATCAAAAATAACATATACAATATACTGATTAAACGTAAAAATGCAACCAAAATTAATGTATATAATATACTGATTAAAGTAAATTATGTATTTTTTGCATAAGAAAAAGGACGATTTTCAGTATCTAATATATGGAAATATTTATAATATACTATAAAATCTTACCAAAAATAACGTATACAATATACTGATTTTATGTATAAAATTTAACAAAAATTACATATACATTATACTAATTAGACGTATAAATTCAGTATTTTTTTGCATATGGAAAAAGACGATTTTTAGTATCTAGTATATGGAAATATTTACGAATTTATTATACTATTTTTTTACGTTTATTATACGTTTTTTAAACATATTATTTCCATATACTTTTCTTATACATATTATTTATAGGTTACTTACCAATTCTATTAATGATTTTTCAGTTGTACCTACATGAGATGTATAAGTTTTGATCCTAAATGACTGTGAAGTACAATTAGAAGGTAAGTAAAAGGAATTTATGAAGTGGCTCTTATTTTACTTTTATGATAGCAAGAATAAAAAGGTTATTGTAAATATTGTAAAGATTAGACAAGATTTAAGATTACAATAAATCAATGATGATTATTAAATTTTGTTATAGTACAATAGTGATAAACCAGTTTTAAACTGGATAATTAGTTCAGCCAAATTTTTAGCTGCAATTTTGACCATATAGTAAATCAAATTATAATTATTTAATAAATTTCTATAATGATTAATTAGTGTTGAATCTAAGGTTAATCAGTGTTGAATCTGATGATTAATTCATTGATTTAATTTATTTAATTTCTATAATTCAAATTTGAAATTGCTGAAAATTTCAATTGCAAAAACTACGTAAATTTTAAAATTGCTAAAAAATTAGATCATTTATTTGACTTTTGCATAAAAATTAGATATTTTATCAACTTATTGAATACATTGAATGCTAATATGTTTCAATACAATTTTATATAAGGAAAGTTTTATCACGTTTTTATTTCTGTAATTGTTCAATCTTTCACATTGACAATTTTTAAATTTTTCTCAAATAACAATTTTACAATTTCAAAAATGCCCGTCATTATTGAATGGTTTGATAAAGAAATGCAACTTTTGATCGACTTAAGAAGGGAAAGGAATGATGATTACTGAAGAAGATTCAGAAGATCAAAGTTGACTTTTTAGAATGAGATTGCAGCATCGATATAAGAAAGGTTTATGATTGCATTTAATGGATTACAGGTAAGAGAAAAATTTAAAGGGATGATTAGAGATTGTAAAGTAAGTAAAATATTAGTAAATAAAAGAAGAATAATATTATCTTAATTGTATTTACAATAATATTTTAATAATTTTAATTTAGTAGTTATTTGAAAAGTATGTTGATGAGAATGAGAAAGGAAGGTAGACTCATGTTGGAGAAGTTTTTGGGGAACAATTCAAAACCTGATTTTGGGAGAGATCAGATTTGAATAATAAAACTTTCCAATTGATATTTAATTGAAGAAAATCATTATTAAAATTAAATATTTATATTATTTAGTATCACATGTATAAGAAAAAAGACTTGCAAGATTAGCTGAAAGATCTTAAGGTAAGAAATTTATTCAGATAATATCAATATTATTTTAACCTAAATTTAAATTTAAATTTTTTAGAATTCTTTCAATCCTCTCAATCTGAAACCTAACAAAACCCTCAATAATCTGTTTTTTTAACTATTATCACTCCTTTTTCCAACTACCTTCATTCTTTTTCTATATTTCATAATTTTAATTAGTCTTTCTTTTCTTTATCTTTTCCGTTATCTTCGCTTATCCATTTTCACTCAGTTTTTTTTATAAATTTTTTTTCTGAATTCTGTTAAAAAAACCTGAACGAAGCTTACTACCTCTACGTGGTATTCAGGATCAACAGTTATAGGTTAATCTATATCTGGTTAAGAGCAAGCATTTTTTCATAACTTTAATTCCTTAGTTATTTATTATTTATATTTATTTGTTTTACATTATTTCATAAACTTATTATTATATATTGAATTTGAATATAATATTCAGTATACTATATAACGAATAAATTGTTAAAATATTACTAAATTTTCTCATTATAATAAATTGTGAGGTTCAACTGTAATTATTTTACTTCTTTATTATGATTGGCTAACCTAATGATCACGTAAGAGGTGAGATATTTAAGAATCCCTCCCCCATAATTATACAGTATAATATGTATCACTTCCCTAATAGGGATTTCAAATTTTTAAGAATGGATTTGACCTTAAAATGAAGAAAAGAATAGTTATATTTATGCTCATGTATTGCCTGAAGTTGGTATTTGAAAAGAATTTTACTAGACAAAATAGAAAAATTACAAAAAAAAGAAAATTTGAAAAGTTAAACCTGAAATATACTTAATATACAGAGTCAAACAAGTAATAGACTATGCCAATTGATACTAATCCTGATAGATTACTTATTATTTTTAGTTATAATACTGAAAGTTACTAATTTGATTATCAAATAAATATGTAATAGTTAAAGATGGTCTTTATAATTATTTTCAAATTACAATTGGATTGCAACTTAATTGCGTCATAAGAAAATTTAATTATATAACAAGTTGCAACTCAATTGCGTCATTTTTTTAATTATGATACCCATCTTTAGTAATAATATTACTAAAGTTACTTATCTAAACACATTTTGGATTTGGCTAAATGTTTAAACCTTTAGTTTCACTAAATTTTTATTAAGTGTTTGATATAGTTTCGAGATTTTTATATGATTTTACCTTTTTTCTAAATTTTGCAGATTTTTTAATAAGATTTTAATATAATTTAACTAAGTTTTACCTTTACTATTTAGATGTCTATCTAAATTCTTAATTTCGCCTAACAACCTAAGTATTACTATTGCTGATTTTGTCTAATATTAATAATATTGTCAGGATCTGATACTAATTGATATAACTAACCAAATAGAAATTAATAATGAACTTATACAAAATAATTTATAAAGGTACAGTGAACTCTTGATATAACGAATTCTAGGATCTGAATATCAACTTCGTTATAAGCTTATAACGAATTTTTTAAAGAATTTAATTGGCTAGTTCACTATAGTAAAGGTAATTTTAATATATTTGATTTAAAAATTCGCTATATTAAGGATTCGCTATATCAATGTTTGATTGTATAAATATAATTATAAGTTATAATTTGTTGATTATAAAGAGAATTTACTTGAAGGTTATTTATATAGTCATAGGTTTTTTTTCCAATTGGGTTCTAAAAGAAAATGAGAAAATTCAGACATATTAAATCAAAAAAGAATGACTGCAGAAATTAAGTGATTATTAAAAGTAATGTTTCATAAAGGAATAGCAAATTTACGCTAAAAAATGAATGCATAGCAAATATATAAAGAATTATTGCAATAAGTATATTAGGGTGAATTATATGAAAAAGATGTATCTCAGGTATTAACCATTCAAAATTGGATTCTGAATTTTTCACGAAAATGAAAAAAAGCAATGGCACTTTGTTCCATAGATGAGAATAAAGATTTCTAAAGTTATATAAACACGAATATAAAACATTATTATTTTTTTGAAATTATGAAATTTATATATATTAAGTATAAAAACAAATAAATATAAATATTATATTTGCCAGAAATTGATAAAATAAATATATTTGATTTATCATAAATCAGTCGTTACTCCAAAGTAATCATATTATTAACAAAGTCAACATAGGTATGTGTTTTTTTATAAAAAAGGTTTTTTTTCAACATTTATTACAGTTGTTTGGATAGACTATGCATAATACTAATAATTTTAACTTTATTTGAATTTTGTAACTTGAGGTACGGATCGACACAATTTTACCCTAAATTCTTATAGTAATTTAGTGCCGATCTTTCATGGATCACGTCTTAATATAGTTAGTTTACATTACAATATTTATTTATTTACCTTCGTCACTTGAAGCTTGGTTAAAGTGAATAAAACAATATTAAATATGGTTAATAAGTAGCTTCCGAAACTTGCTCTGTGACTTTTTTTTTTGTTTGATGAAAATATTTTTGTTACTATCAGAGACATTATAAAAATAAAAAAATATTCTAATATTGTCTTGTATAACGATAACAAAATGTTATGTTGGGTCCCACATGAAAAATTTGAAAAAATTAAAAGCAGCTTAAACTTAATTAGATTAATTAAATCGATCAATTTTTTATATATTTGCTTGCCCCTTAAAAAATTGGCTGTTAAAAAATTGGCTGAAAAATTTTTTTCTCGCAATGACTTCAATCGATTCTCTTGTAAAAGAATGGCTTCGCTTAGATAAGGTAAGTTTTTATCATTTATTTAAAAAAAATTTTTTTTTTTATAAAAAAATTTTTTTTTTTTGTTTAATAAGAATCCAACGACACGATTAGAAATCGAAAAACTATATGCAGATCAAAATGTCGAAGAATTAGAAAAACGACTTCGAAAAAGAATATCATTTGGAACTGCAGGTACTTTCTTGTAATGAATTGTTTAATAAAAATAAGATTTTTATTTAAGATTCTTTTATTAATAGGTTTAAGATCAAGTATGGAAGCTGGATTTTCAAGAATGAATGATCTTACAGTAATCCAGGCTTCTCAGGTAAATCTTTACCTTTAATGAAAATATAGATTTGATCCTTGGCTCAAAACCAAATTTTATAGGGACTTTGCATGTATCTTCTTGATGTAATACCAACATCAGTAGATAAAGGAGTTGTTATTGGACATGACCATAGACATAACTCTGAAAAGTTCGCAAGATTAACAGCAGCGGCATTTCTAAAAAAAGGATTTCGAGTTTATTTTTATCGTGGATTGGTACACACTCCGTTAGTGGTATGTATTTTTATCTTTTTTTATAAAAAAAAAAAATAGAAAATAACTAAAAATTATTAAAATATGTTTGATTTTTTTTATGTAGCCATTTGGAGTCAAAAAACTTGAAGCATCATGTGGCATCATGATAACAGCTTCTCATGTAAGTGATTATGATTATTAATTTTTAAAATTTTTAGGTTAATTAATTATTAATTTATTTTGCAGAACCCTAAAAAAGATAATGGTTATAAAGTGTAGGTATTTAAAATTTAACTCGTAGATTTTAAGTTATTTTAACCCGAATATCTACAATGTTCCCTTTTCATCTTTCATTACAAGTTATTGGGAAAACGCATGTCAGGTAGATACTGGATGATAAGAATTTTTTTTTTTAAAAAAAAAAAGATTAATTTTTCTCTTAAATATTTAGATAATTTCACCACATGATAAAGGAATTTCTCAATCAATTTCAGTTAATCTTGAGCCATGGACATGGGATGCAGAGCTGGTTAATAATAGTCCATTATGTATTGATAATGTAAAAGAGATTTCAGACGCTTATTTTGAAGAATTAAGAGGAATATCTTATCATAGGTATAATTTACAATAATAATAATCATCTTTATTCAATCTTAATTAATCTAAGAATTTTTCTTTATAGTAAAGATAATATATCGTCTAAAGTTAAATTTGTTTATACAGCTATGCATGGAGTAGGAACGCCAATGGCTAAAAAAGCATTTGAAACATTTTCATTAAATCCTTTTATTTCAACAAAAGAGCAAGAGGATCCTGATCCTGATTTTTCTACGGTCGCATTCCCAAATCCAGAGGAAGGAAAAGGTTTGAATATTTTATTCTATAATATATATATATATATATATATATTGTAATAATCTATTAATTAATTGTCTAACATAATTAGGTGCATTGGTATGTTTGAACGTTTATAAGTTTATCTATTGAATTTGGACACAAAAATTGATTATATAATCATGATTATTAGGCAATGGCCATGAAGACAGCAGATGAAAATAATGTCGAGGTTATCTTTGCCAATGATCCCGATGCAGATAGATTTTCTGTATCCGAAAAGCAAAAGAAGTGAGTTCTTGTTAATTTGTATTTATAACGTCAAAAAAAGTAATTATTCATATTTATTTTTGGATAGCGGAGAATGGATGTTATTTTCGGGTAATCAAATCGGAGTTATGTTAGCATCCGTTGTTCTAGAAAACTTTAAAGCTCAAGGAAAACCAATCAGTATGATACAAATTTATTTTTCTATGTATATCCTTTATCACTTTCTCAGTCAACTAAAAAGTTCTTTTTTCTTAAAGATAAACTTGCAATGTTGGCAAGCACGGTATCATCAAAGATGTTGGAAAAAATGGCCAAGGATGAAGGATTTTATTTTGAAGAAACGTTAACAGGATTTAAATGGTTGGGAAACAAAGCAATCGATTTATCTCAACAAGGATATGAAGCTTTATTTGCATATGAGGAAGCTATCGGATATATGATTGATGGAATTGTAAGGGATAAGGACGGAATTATTGCTTTAGTTACATTTGCTGAACTTGCTGTACAATTGAATAAACGTGGATTAACGATTTCAAGATATTTAGAAGAATTGTATAAAAAGTATGTTAGTTACATTTTTTTTTTTTTAAAAAAAAAGTATGCCCTTTTGTATTTTAATTGTTTAAAATTTTATTTTATTTATTTTTTATTTTTGTTTAAAAAAACCGTTACAGATATGGGTATTTTATTACCGAAACATCTTATTTTATATGTCATTCTCCACAAATTATTGATAAAATTTTTAATAAACTTCGATTTGGTGAAAATCCGGTAAGTTCGTAAAAAAATTAAATTGAAAAAAAAGAAATTTATAAAATAATTCTAAAAATATTTATATATATTTTTTTAATTAGGTCAAATCATCTAAACCTGATGTAAGTATTTAAAAAAATTAAAAATACAAAAATTAAAAATCAACTAATTGTATACAAAATTTTATATATAAAAAATAGTATTTATATCCATATCAAGTTTCATATCCTTCAACATTAGCAGGACACAAAATTACATATATTAGAGATTTAACGATTGGGTATGATACAAGTAAACCTGATAATCAGCCTGTTTTACCTACATCTAAAAGTTCTCATATGATAACTTTTGGTTTGGAGAATGGTTGTATCTTAACATTAAGGACAAGGTATTGTAATATTTATTGATTTCTTGTTATAACTTTCTGATAAAATAATATTGATGATGAAATTTTATTATTATTAAAAGTGGAACTGAACCAAAGATAAAGTATTATCTAGAATTATCGGGCAACGATAAGGAGGAGGCTGAAAACGAGTTACGTAAGATTTCTCATGGTGTTTCAGATGAACTATTAGAACCTAAGAAATATGGATTAGGTTACAAAGTTGAATAAATTATCAGTGAAATCTATATTCATAATCTTTAATGGATGAATAAAATAGTGAATTAAATTTTGGATAACAATGCACATTATGTAGATTAAGTCATTTTATTAATTTCAATAAACTTATAATTTATTTATACATATATACATATAAATAATAAATATATACATAAACAGAGAAATAATTACATCACACGAAATTACAAAAAAGAAGGGAATTAGAACAATACAGAATTTTTTTTTTTTATCTAAATTATTTATTCATCTTTCTTGATACAAATACCATAAGGACGTAAATCTTCTCCATTTGGACTAATCCAATATTCACCAACCCCGGTTTCTTCACTAGTAAGCTTAACTAAATTATTTGGATTAACTCTATTTTGAAAAACGACTCTGTAATTATTATCTTCATAAGTAAATTTAGTTGCATATTTGGCAGCCACATCAACATCCGGTGAAGAATAAATTCCATGATCAAACATGAAGCGCTTTCCTCTACTAAAAAGAAATCCATCGTCAGCAATAGAATTACAGTTATATTTAGCGGTGCCATGATAGGAAACTAATAATATGTTTTAAAATAGAAGGTAAACATACAAAAATAAAATAAAATGAGGAGAAATATTATAAAGATAAAAGTTTAATTTTATAAATACCTGGCCATTCATCCTTTACGGAATCAGTGGAATATCTTCTCTTACCACCGCCTACCCCAAGCCAAAGATTATTATCATATTTGTCAAGAACATTGAGAGCGATTCTATTCCAACCACAAGGACGTTGATAAACGTGGTCACCTCGCATAAAAGTTCTTCCATTATCATTAACATAAGTGAAATCATAATCATATGCAGAGTCAAGATGTTTATAGTGAATGAAAAGACGAGAATCACCTCCACCTCTTAATCTTAATACCAAATGTAAAGTAGTATCATTTTGTATAAGATAATCTTCTAAAGTACGACCGTCTTCAAGTTGTTTTCCGGCATATATCAGACGTTGCTGGTCTGGTGGTATGCCTTCCTTTTCTTGAATTCTATTTTTTATGTCTTGAATTGTATTAGATTTGTTTAGGTATAATTCAATCGTTAATCCCGTCAAGGTTCTTACATGAATTTGACGAGATGAACGGTCAATAGTTGTTTCGGGAGGAGGATTTGAAACAATTGTGGTGGTGGGTATCATGGAGAGGTTTAAGGTGGGTTGAACGGAAGATTGAACAGGATGATTGTTGTTATTAATAATTGATTGAATGGCATTTTGATTTATTAAAATGGAATTTGGAACATAAGTGACAGTAGGAAGAATTGTATTTGGTAGAACGAATTCGATATTTGGATCATCATCGAAATCATCATCTCCAAAAGTTTGCACTGGTCCACCAACTAAATGAGCTTGATGAAGTACTTTTTGATCTAATTCAAAATAATTTATCGTTCCAAGTTTACCGTTCTTATAATCATCGTAAGAGATAACCGATTTTTTTGAAACAGCTGAAATTGCTGCAGCTAAAATTTGACTATTAAATGTTTGAGGCATTTTTCTTTTTCTTTTAGTGAAATTTAAAAATTTGAGGTTTTTCAAAAAACAAGAGATAAAAAAAGGATAAAAAAAAAATAAAATAAAATAAAAAAAATTATCAAGACAGTTTTTTTTGTGCGGAGGTCTTTTTTTTTTTTTATTTCATTTCATTATCAAAAATCGGAGTTTTTAAACGTTATGTCCGTTTATCATGTTTATCAAAATTTAAATAAAAGAGTTACAAATGAAATTTCCAAATATTCTCACGGTTGTTTACTTTGAACAAGGTTTCTGCTTTAAAGTTTGCTATACAGAATCCATTTTTGTGTTTATTGTGTGAAAATCGATTCGTAGATATGCGACACAAAAACCAAAAGGAATTGGCGTACGGAGTCCTTTTCAAAGGTGTTCAAATTTGATTTAAATCCCGAAAAAGATTTGTATAAAATGTTATACATATTTTTTTTTTTTGAATGGAATGATTCAATCTTTATCTTCCTGGTTCTCTTGAAAAAGAAATTTTTTTTTTCCCCTTATCTATCCGGAAGCAGGAGGTTTTTTTTTTTTCAGTTGTTTCATTTTAAACTTTATTATTATTTCCCTGTGATATGAACCATTATAGTTTATAATAAAATTTCAACGTGTCATTTAAAGAGGTCTTGCATTTAATTAATCTTGGTCATGTGAATATGTTATTCAGGTATGTGATTACAAAAAAAAAATCTATTGGGTTGATGCATGGAATTTTAAAAATAAATATTATAATCTGAGAATTCATGTGTTACGAAAACATTTTCATTTATTCATTTGATAAATCTAATAATAAAAAACCGACTATTCAACTATTATAATCTTATACAAGAGTGCCCATTTTCTTAATATAGATCCATATGCTTCGTTTGGGCGAAATCCAATATTCTCCAACAATTGTTTCTTCTTTTGTAATTATTTATTTGGATTTATTTTAAAATACGACTTTGATATCTATCTCCTTAATGAATGAATGTACTGTAACTAGATGCGATATCAATATCTGGTCGTTTATCTTTACACAAACCATCTTCGGCAATTGATTTACAACTGTTACCATTGTAAAAAAACTTGGAATAATAAAAAATTTATAGATGAGTAGGAGTCATTTGTTATAAAATGTAATCATACCTAAAGACCAATCATGCTGTGCCAGCACCAAGTAAATATTATCTTAAGATCCTTATTCTCCAGCAAAAAGGACGTTAATTTCCTCGTATATAAGTATTGTCATTTATATTGTAAAGTCATAATCAATCCTCGAGCAGGATGATTAGAATGAAGTCATCTCTTGATCTCAGTACCATGTCATTTGTATGACCGATTCTATCGTTCATCATCAGGTTGTTGATGCCTGGTGAGCCATCACCGCATGATAGATGCAGCTTAGATGTATCTTTTAATGTTATTAATGAATAACTGTCCACGTTCAAATCCGAAACCCTTTAACTTTGACTTTAGGTACCTATCACAAAGCAATTAAATAAGGCTATGCGCTGTGGCTGTTTTTTTTTTTGAAAAAATTTTTTACCATGGAAATTACTATTTATAGTTTTTGTGTGGTAGATCAAGTATCCCATTTCTTTTTTTTTTCTTAGGATAATAAGATTTATTTGTGTCTGACAGCACTGGAACCAAGCCAGATTCGTGCATTTACACATTTAGATTAGAATAATTAATTAAAAATAAATAAAATACATTAGGCTAATTAACCTTCTTAATACATATACCATAAGGACGAATGTCTGATTCGCTTGGTGAAATCCAAAATTCACCAGCACCACCAGTTCTTTCCTTTGGAATTATCTCTAAATTATTTGGATTAACTCTATTTTGAAATACAACTTTATATATGTCTCCATCATGCATGAATTCAGTAGCATATATAGATGCGACATCAATATCTGGTGTTGAATAAATTCCATGCCCAAATGCGAATCGTTTACACTTATTCAAATCATAACCATCTTCAGCAATTGATCTACAATTATGTTTGGCAGTACCATGATAAGAAACTTTGAAATTATTGAATTAAAAAAAAATAATTTAAAGTATGACAAAAATATAAACATATTTTTTTTTTAAAAAAAAAAAAAAAAAAAAAAATCAATACCTGGCCATTCTTTTTGTACAGGACTCCTTATATGCATCCTAACGCCAGTACCAAGCCAATCATTATTTTCATATTTGTCAAGAACATTAAGAGCGATTCTCATCCAACCACAAGGGCGTTTGTATTCAAATTTACCTCGTTTATGAATTTGTCCGTTGTCGTTTATATTTGTAAAATCAAAATCGAAATTTGGAGAAAGATGATTAGGTAGAAGATATAAAGTGGGACTGCCACCTCTCAATCTCAAAACAAGATGTATGGTCGATTCTTTTATTATATTGTAATCATTCAAAGTACGTCCATCCTCTAGTTGTTTACCAGCAAAAATTAATCGTTGCTGATCTGGTGATATACCTTCTCTGTCTTTAATTATCGATTTTATTTGATCAATTTTCGTAGTAAATGCTGTCTTTATTGTTATAGTTTTACCTCCTAACGTTTTAATGAATATAACTTTAGGGACAATTAAATGAGAATGTTGGAGAGAACCTTCGACGTTAGGTGCCTTATCACCAACTAAATGAGATTGAATGATATAATTTTCGGCTTTAGGTGCGCTACTATCAACTAAATAAGGTTGAGGTTGACTGAGAGAAACTTCGACTTTGGGTACTCTACCACCAACTAAATGAGAATGGTGTAGAGAATTTTGGTCCAATTCTTTGCAATTACCTCTATTACCCTTTAAATAGTCGTCGTAGGTAATAATATTGTAATTTGTAATAGCACTGAGTGCTGCGGCTAAAAGGGTATTTGACATGGTAATCTATAATAGCACAAAGTGCGAGCAATTAAGTGGGTTTTTAACATGAAAAAAATTTTTTTATTTGTTTTTTTTTTCTTAACAAGGGGAAATTAAAACGCCTATATTTAAATTTGTTCCCATTTTTGACAGTCAGGTTTTAACAAATAAATTAAAAAAAAATTGGATTAACCAAATATGGTGTAATCGTTAATTATTTACAGTCAAATTGATCGTCATGCGTCTTAACATTTTTAGAATATAATTCCATCAACCCGAAACCCTAATTTATAAAAACTCCTCAAATATTTATTACTTGAAATATTTTGGTAAATAGAGATACCATAAAGACATAAATCTTCGTTTGGTGAAATCCAATATTCACCAAACCAATTACTGAGCAATGATGGGTTTTGGACTTATTTTTTAGTTTTAAATATTTTGGACAAGGTTTTGGACATATGAAATTGTGTCAAAATCTGTCCAAAACTATCCAAAATTGTCCAATTGATAATTACTGTAATTAGGTGCGACATCAGTTTCATAATAATAAACATATAGAAAATAAATGAGTAAATAATGACATTAATAAATTTGTTAAAAAATGCTCACCAAGCTAAATATTATCTTCATGTATTAAGAGCAATCATAAGTCGTTTATATTCTAAACTACTTCGAACAAAATTTATTCCATTATGCATATAAGTAGTCCATCATCTGGTTGTTTACTAGCAAAAATTTACTAATACATCTATCCGAAACTTTTTACGTTGGCATTAGCGTTAGCGTTAGGTTAAGAAAAGATTTTTAATTTAATTCATCATAATAATCAGAAGTTTTTTTTTTTTACATAATCATCATAAGTAAAAAAAAAATTTCTGGCCTATTTAAATGTTTGCAGAACATTTCTATTTATAATAAACAATTTTATTATTTGAAGTTTAATTTCCAAGCTATCCGTTTTTTTCAAATCGTTTTGAATAGGGATGCTAATGGTTACGGTTATGACCGATCATAACCGTAACCGATATCGGTCGGTCAAAGGTTTCTGACCGACCGATTTTGACCGATTTTGACCGACCGGTTGACCAAACATTTTTTTAATTAGTAATCCAAGAATTCTTTGCATTTAATTAACAATCATTTTAATTATGTAATTTTTTATAAATAAAAATTTTTAATTTATTTTTTAAAAAAAGCTCGCGATAATGCTGTAAATATGAAAGTAAACTTAATATGCATATCGAGTTAGCCTAAAAGAAATAAGAAAAAAATCGGAGTTTTGCAAATACCATGTTAGTATTATTTAAAGCTTAAATTAAAATTATCGATCAAGAACTTTAAATTATATTATTATTATATGGGCCGGTCAACCGGTCAATCTAACCGGTCGGTCGGTCAAATGCCTCTGACCGACCGTTGACCGACCATGACCGACTGTTACCATCCCTAATTTTAAATATACATGTATGCTATTACAGGTCATATGGGGTGAGTGCTGGGAAAATGGACCAAATTGATTTTTTTTTTAAAAAAAAAGTTCCCAAGTAAAATAGATAAAATAGATGTAGATTTGGTCATCTGATTCAGATTTCAAAAAAATTTTTTGTCGATTTGGTCCTTTTTCCCAGCACTCACTATGATTCGTCAAATTTTATTTTATTTTTTGAATCAATATTTATTAACATTTAAAAAAAAATAAACTTATGCAATTTCTTAATACAGATACCATAAGGACGTACATCTTCTCCGCTTGGCGAAATCCAATATTCAACAACACCATTTTTAACTCTAACCAAATTATTTGGATTAACTCGATTTTGTAGTACAACTTTATATATATCTCCCTCATGAGTGAATTTAGTAGCATATCTAGATGCGACGTCAATATCTGGTGTTGAATAAATTCCATACCCAAATGCGAATCGTTTACACTTACACAAATCATAACCTTCTTCAGCAATTGTTTTACAATTATGTTTGGCAGTTCCATGATAAGAAACTTTGAAATTATTATTAAAAAATTTTTTAATATAAAATTTATGTTTTAAAAAATGTAATTATACCTGGCCATTCATTTTGTGCCGAACTTGTTGAAGAGTTTCTCCCGTCAACGCCAAGCCAAATATTATTCATATTAAGAGTGATTCTTTTCCAACTAAGGACGTTTATTTTTCAAATTTCCTCGTTTAAAAGTCTTCCCATTATCAAATTTTGGAGCAAGATTATCAGAATGAAGATAAAAATTGGAAATACCATCTCTTAATGTCAAAATTAAAATTACGTCGACTCCTTTGATATATTATAAGTATTTGACGTATTTGACCATCAAAAATCTTATTTAGTAGAAACCTTCCTTATATTGAATTCCATTTTTAAATGGTCAATTGTCATAACGAATATTTGTCCACTAATACCTAAATCCTAAGTCTCAAAATTCATAGCTAAGTGCTATGCCATCCACTAAATAAGACTTATGAAAAATGGATTGGACATTTACTCTTTGGCAAGTAGGACAAAAAAAATATAGCGTAATCAATGATATCATTTGTCTATTCAAAATGTGATCGTCATTCGCAATATCGAACAAACTTGACAAAACAATTTGTTAACTTCAGCGTTAGTTAGGATACAATTTATTCTTTTAACAAAATCATCATAAGTAATAACGTTTTGATTCGTGATAGCACTGAGTGCTGCGGCTAAAGTGGATTTGACATTACTTTTTTTTACCAAGGAAATTTACTATTCTATTAAAATCTTTGACAAGTAGGACGCCAATTTCTTTGTTAGTTGTATCAAATCAATGTAATCGTCATTCACAATATTTCTTATTGATCGATAAATTTTTTTTAAGGGAATGCTAAGTGTAATGAAAGTAACCAACTCAATTTTTGAGCGGGCGGACATCAGGAGATTTTTGTATTCCGTATAAATGATATTATAAATTCCGTGAAAATGAGCCCTTCATAGGAAATGACAAAACACGGATCAACTTTTTTTAGGGACAATATATGGCCTTTGCAATAGGAAGGGGAAAACTCCAAAATTTACTTCTATGTTCAAACTTAGGATTAACTCATTTTTATCTTTCTGGCAGTTTCCCCCTTTCTATTGCAAAGATCCAATATAGACCTTCGTTAGACTCCGGACTAATTAATAATAATAATAAAATAAAATAAACAAAATAAACTAATTTATTAATTCAGATCCCATAAGAACGACAACTTTATATGTATCTCCTCATGAGTGAATTTAATAGCATATACAGATGCGACTTCAATATCTGGTGTTGAATAAATTCCTAGCCCAAACATGAAGCGCTTTCCTTTAACCATCTTAAGCAATTGAAATGCAATTATTATGTTTGGCAGTTCCATGATAAGAAACTGTGAAATAATTGAATTAAAATAAAAAATTTAAATGTATACCTGGTCATTCATTTTATGTTGAACTTGTTAAAATGTTTCTCCTGTCAACACTTAGCCAAATATTATTTTCATATTTGTCAAGAACATTAAGAGCGATTCTGTTCCAACCACAAGGACGTTTATATTCACAATTTCCTCGTACAAAAGTCTTCCCATTATCATTTTTATTTGTAAAATCATAATTGAATCCTGAAGCAAGATGATTAGGAAGGGATATGATAAAATGGAACTATCGCCACCTTTTAATCTGATTAATAAATGAATAGTTGATTCATTTTGTATATTGTAAGATCCTAAAGTACGTCCATCTTCAAGTTGTTTACCAGCAAAAATTAATCGTTGTTGATTTGTTGGTGTCCCATTCTTTTCTTGAATTGCCAATTTTAATTGGTTAGTTGTCTTAGTAAATTCGGCATTTATTGTAATGGTTTGTCCAGAAAGAGTCTTAACGAATAACTGTCCACTTGCTGTGATTGAATTTGTATTTAACATTATTTTATTATTATTATTATCTTTTTTTTTGAAATTATTTCTTTTACCAAGGGAATTATTACCCTATTTAAACCTTTTGAAATATCCCGTTTCTATGGTATTTAACGTAATCGTGATATCATCTTAATAAATCCCCACGCCTTTTTGGCTCAAATATTTAACTTTCCCAAGCTATCTCATTTAACCGTCGATGCATTCACACATTTGTTATACTTTCATGTTTTTGTTTTATCGGATTTTATATTACTGAACAGATATATTTAACCTGCTTGGCGAAATCCAAATTTCATATTCTTCAATTTCTTCCTCGATAATTATAACGAAATTATTTTGACTTAACTCTATTTTCTAGTGTTCTCAAACAAAGAATTGCTCAACCATTTCATAATAACGAATAAATAATATAAGTAAATAATGAAAAATTTTAAATTTTTTCTTTTAAAATGCAATTATTTCAAACTTGTTGAAGAATTTAATTATTACAGCCAGCGCCTCGCCAAAAATTATTTTCAAATTTGTCAAGATCGATTTATTTTCAATCACAAGGGTGTTTATTTTCAAAATCTCCTCATAGGACATCATCATCTTTAGTATATTTGTAAAATCATAACCTGAAGCAATGGTGATAGAATGAAATATAAAGTGCTAAAGTTGCTACTCAAATAAATGACCATCTTCTAGTTGTTTACGAATTCTTAATTGATAATGGAGTAGACTTACAACTTGGAGATGTTCAAATTACCAAAGATATAACTGAAGAACTTAAATCAGAAGAGATTGGAGGATTTGATACACCAGTAAAATTAATCTTTTGTTGATCTTAAAATATAAATAAAAGCCATACGACAGCATAACGCTGATAGTAAAACCCATCACACAATACTACTGAACGAAAAGAAACGAAAAGAAATTGAAGTGATAAAGGGATTACGGTAAAAAATAATTTCTATTGATTTTAAAGATTTTAAGATGTAATAGTAAACTAGCAGCTGATTTTAAATCAAATTTCCTTTTTCTTAGGCAACTGTCAAATAACGAATAATTAATAAGAAATTAATCAAGATAAAGTCTCTTCTATAATCACGCTTTTGGTCACAATAATTTTTCAAAAAATGTGCTTAATAAAAAGAATAAAAAGGTTTTATATGATTATAAACAGGGTGACTATACAGGCCTAACTGACTCAAATAAATGAAACGGAGATAATTTTGATTCGGAATATTGCGGCTAAAACACCTAATCAAGTACAAATTTTGAGTACAAAAAATTCTTTTAAATCTTTTGCCAAGTAAAACAAAAAAAAAAAAAAAACGTAATCAATGATAACATTTTTAATAAATCCTATTCAAGTTGTTAATGGTTGTTTTTGAATTTACGCCTTTCATAAAATCGTCATTCGCAATATCGATGACATTTACATATTTTATGAATATATTATATTTTTTCAATCCAATATTTATTAATTTACATAAGTTAACATTTAAAAAAAAAATCATGAAAGTAAAATTAAATTTTAATACAGATCCCATAAGGACGTAAATCTCATACCAAATGCGAATCGTTTACTTTTGGTAATTCCATAACATAATATTTGAAGTTTGAAGTTAATATTAATGACAAAAATAAAATTTTATTTTTTAAAAAATGTAATTACCATCAGGACGCTTATGTTCAAAATTTTCTCGTACAAAAGTCATCCATTATCATTTATTTTTTTTAAAATCATGATCGAATCCTGAATCAAGATGATTAGGAAGAGGATATGATAAAATGGAACTACCAGCACCTTTTAACCTCATTACTAAATGAATAGTTGACTGAGTATGTATATTGTAATATTCTAAAGTATTTCCATCTTCAAGTTGTTTTCTCACAAAAATTAATCGTTGTTGACCTTTTGGTGTACCGATTTCATCTTGGATTAATGATTTTAATTTTTCAACTTTCATAGAAAATTCGGCATTTATTGTTATGGTTCTTCCGGATAATGTTTTAACGTATATTAGTCCGCTGGGAGCTGCGACAGAATTTGGATTTGACATGATTTTATTGTTTTTTTTTTGGAAATTATTTTTCGAAATTAACTTATTTAAATATTTTGAAAAATCACACGTTATAGTAAACAATGAATGATAAATTCCGTCATACAGTAAATATCTGTTTTGAATAAACGCCTTTGGTTTACAAGTTTAACTTTCTCAAGCTATCTCAATTTATCGACAATATATAGGAACCGAGCTCGTGCATTTTAAATATGTTTTGTTTTATCGGATTTGTATCATATTTATTATTGAACATTAATATAGCAGAGAATCGTAACAAATTAACTAAAAAAGAAATTTTTAGAGAATGTAAATGTGATACTTGTAGAAGAATTTCTATTTGCCAGCGCCAATCCAAATATTTATTCTTAAATAACGAGTGTTTATATTCATAATTTCCTCGTAGTACACCATCAGTATGTTTGTAAAATACTAATCAAACCTTGGAGCAAGATGATTAAATTTCTAACTGTAATCATTCAAGCCGACATGATAAGCAAAATCCATACTACTAAAACGAACAAAAACAAAAGAAAATGAAACGGGTAAAAAAAGATTTAAGATATTAATTATTGATTATTGATTTTACCGATTTTAAGATGAAATAGTTGACTGTTAATTTGTAAAATAGGTATAGTGTACTATCGAAAAGCAGCTTGATTCGACGTGCTTTCATATCTAATTTTAAGTCAGCTTTCTACCTTTTTATCTTGAGCAGCAACTGAGAAATGAATAAATTAAACATGTAATTATTGTGTTTTTAATGGTAATATTACCAACAGAATTCAATTCATCGTAAAGGAAAAACTGATTGTTGCGGCTAAAGATGTTTACTAATCTATTCAATTATTTAAAGTACCCATTATGAGGACAAAAATGGTTAATAAAAATCACACGTATTAATCCCAGTATATATATATAATTACAATGAGACCATTGTTAATAAATCTATTCTTAATAAATGCACCTTTTATATGAAAGTTAAACTCGGGTCATCCAAAATATTACATTTTAATTACAATTTACACATTTTTTAGAAAGATTGGATCAACATTTATTCTTAACATATCATATTGAATATTTTAATAATAATAAAAAAAAAAAATAATAAAATAAAAATAAACTAATTAAATTTTCTTAATACAGATCCCATACGGACGTAAATCTGCTCCACTTGACGAAATCCAATATTCACCAAAACCAGTCTCTTCCTTAGTAACTCTAACTAAGTTATTTGGATTAACTCGATTTTGAAATACAACTTTATATGTATCTCCTTCATGAATAAATTTAGTAGCATAACTAGATGCGACATCAATATCTGGTGTTGAATAAATTCCATATCCAAATACGAATCGTTTACACTTGCACAAATCATAACCTTCTTCAGCAATTGATTTACAATTATGTTTGGCAGTTCCATGATAAGAAACTTGAAATTATTGAAAGTAAAAGAAATTTAAATGAATAAATAATAATAAAAATAATTTTTTTTAAAAAAAATGTAAATATACCTGGCCATTCATTTTGTACCGAACTTGTTGAAGATTTTCGACCTTCAACGCCAAGCCAAATATCATTCTCATATTTGTCAAGAACATTAAGAGCGATTCTTTTCCAACCACAAGGACGTTTATATTCAAATTTTCCTCGAACAAAAGTCTTGCCATTATCATTTTTATTTGTAAAATCATAATCAAATTCTGGAGCAAGATGATTAGGAAGAAGATATAATAAAGTGGGACTTCCGCCATCTAATCTCATTAGTAAATAAATAGTCGAACTATTTTGTATATTGTAAGATCCTAAAGTACGTCCATCTTCAAGTTGTTTACCAGCAAAAATTAATCGTATATAATTTGGTGGAATATCTTGTTTATCTTGAATTAACAATTTAAATTGATAAATTGTCATGGTGAATTTGACTTTTAATGTTGCAGTTTTACCATTTAATAATATAACGAATATTTGTCCACCTTCATCTAATTTATTTAATCCACCTAATTCGAAATTTTTTTCGATTTTAGGAATTTTAGGTAACTTACAACCAAAATAAGGTTGATATATAGATGCTTTGTCGTTGGGTACCTTACCACCAACTAAATGAGACTGGTGGAGAGATTTTTGATCCAATTCAGCATAATAAACATTATTATCATGTAGGCTTTTAACATAATCATCGTAAGTAACAATCTTTTGTTCTGTAACAGCACTGAGTGCCGAGGCCAAGAGAGGATTTGACATGAATTTACTTTTTTTTTTTTTGAAATTTCCTTTTTTTTAACAAGGAAATTACTAGCCTATTTAAATCTTTGTGCTCGATTGGAAGGAAAAAAAACGGTTACCGGTTATTTTACTCCATGAAATCACCATTTATGGTTCATTTTTAATTTGATTTTAAATCTTAATAATATATACGCCTTTGGGAAAAAAATTTTGGATCGTATATTTTATTATTATTATTAATTCTGATTACAAAACTTTCTTAATACAAATGCCATATACAAACAAGAATCGTCACCTTGAGCACAATTATGCTCATACTAACAAATTAATAGACAAAATTATTAGCGTTCTTTATCACACAGGTGTTTATGTTCAAATTTCTTTGTATAACATCATCTAGAATATAAATTGTAAAAAATCCTAATTTTATCCAGGAGCAAAATGATTATAATGAATATATAAAGTTGCCACCATTTCTTAATGTCAATACTAAATGTAAGATTCTAAGTTGACATTAATACAGTGCAGTTCTATGATCCCAACCATCATCATTGGTAATGATATTTTACCCAATCTTAAATTGGCTCAAATGATATAAATATAACAACAAGATAATTACGTGACGTGATAGAGAATTTGCTTTATGTTTTATAAGCATAAATAAACAATTAGTGATTAAAAATAAAATATATTATATATATTGTTCTTCCAACCCAGGAACATTGTGATTAATCCCACACTAACATTATGCATGTAAAGAAATTTCGTTCTGGACTTTTAAATAATAATTAACGACAATTTATTATGTTATTGATGATTATATGTCATGTCAATGTTTTTAAATTAACATGACTAGGCTAACCAATTGATTTCAATGGTTAGGTAATGCTAGTACCAGCTGTTGGAGTCGGAGCCAAAATCGGGTAGACTCCGGAGTTTTCAAATGACTGAATCGCTGTTTCAAAATGCGAAATTCTCAATTAAATAAACGTTTCAAATTTTTAGTCGAATGGGATTCTGATTTTTGCGATTTTTGCAACATTAATTAAATTATAAAAATTTTTATGAATTGTTAGTTACTTGTATCGATCAAACTTCTTTAGCTATGACTTTTCAACTGGTAAGTTATACTGTGCGCGATAATTACGTTATCAACATATATATTTTTTATCTTTTATTTATTATTTTAATGAATAATTTCTCATAATCTTCATATTGTTTCTGGAATAACGAAAATTAGAGCTATTTATCAAAATATGATCAGACGCTAGCATTAATTTTTGTGGATTGCGGTTGGAGAACCATCATCAACGATGTAGATGTCAAATTCATAGATGTTATAAAGAAAATGGGTACAACAACGGAATGTATAAAGCATTTCTCTTAGAAAGTTTCAGCTATGTTTATAGATTAATCCCGCGGTGGAAAAACAAACAAAGGATCGTATCATAAATGAATAAATCATCGTTTTCCCGGAATTTATTTTGAATAAACAGGTAAAACCAAATTATTAATAATAACTTAATGATTAAAAGGGTGAAATAAAAAAGTAAGGATCACAGATGCAACAGAGATAAAATATTACATATAACTTTTCCCGTGAAAATTTAGTTGTGCATCCCAAGTAATAAAGTTTTAAATGTCTAAAATTTTTGAGTGGAATAAAAATTTTTACATAGTGGATTCTATGATACTTTTCAATGATGTTATTTATTGTATCGATTATTACTACAAAAATTTCTTTCAATTCTGTTCAGTATAACATTTAATTTATATATCTAGAAATTCTGTCATATGATAAAATTGATGAATGAAAACTTTTTTGCATTAATATAATAACCTTACAAAAAAAATATCTGATAATTAATTATTTCATGAAAAATTAAATTTAAGTTTCTATAACAGGATTTAACTGAAAAATGACAATAATGTTTTAAAATAATTTTTTTTTTTAAAAAAAATAAATTCCATGTTTAAAAAGTATTCAGTAAGCTTCCGCGGAATGCGTCAAAAACTTCTTACTTTTTACATGCCAAGACAAAATTATTTATTTAATTTTCTATGTTTACATCAAAATAAATATTTTTAAGTAAGATACCTAACATAGATAATTCTGTAACACTAAAAATAACCAAATATATTCGGTTTATTATAATTTTACTGTTTTGGACCAACAAAAACGTTTTCCTAAAAGGAAATTGAGAGACATCATAATGCATGTTCTTTTACCTATTACGACTTTTGCTATTGTGTCTAATTATGAACTTTTCTCTCGAAAATGATTTAAATAAGCGGGTAATTTACTCAATCGAGGAAAAAAAAAAAAAAATAAAAAATTATATCTAAGAAAAAAAAATATTAAAATCAAAAAAATCTTTCAGTAATGGATTCAAATATAGCCGCAGCCCTCAGTGCCATTACCAATAACAACATTGTTATCTACGATGATTCTAAACATAGATATAGGAGGAGTATTCAGTTAAATCAAGAAGCACTTCATCAATCTCATTTAGTCGGTGGGAAAGTACCAACTTCTCTTCGGAGAGTGCCCTCAAATCCCGAACCTTTTCCTTTTAGAAAGACTATATTTATTAAGACACTGAGCGATAAAACCATCACAATTACAATTGAAAGTTTTCAAATAACAGTTTACGAACTAAAATCGTTAATTCATAATGAGGAAGGTATTAAACCAGCTCAACAACGATTAGTTTATGCTGGTAATCATCTTTTAGATGAATTTAAATTATCAGATTACAGAATAACATATAACTCCACATTGCATTTATTATTAAGTGGTAATCATAGTGCACTATTCATTCATCCAAATCTTCTTGATCCAAGATTTGATTTTGATTTTACAAATGTAAATGATGATGGAAAAATCTTTATGCGAGGTTCTTTTAAATATAAACGCCCATGTGGTTGGAAAAGAATTGCCCTTAACGTTCTTGACAAATATGAAAATAATCTTTGGCTCGGTATAGGTGGTAATAGAAGAACTCATTCCACTTGTCCCGTAAGGAATGAATGGCCAGGTAATATACATTAACAATCCTTTTTTCTTTCTTTTTATATTTTATTTTGGTCATTATTTACTCATTCCTATGAAATTTTTTTTTCAAGTTTCTTACCATGGAACTGCCGAGCATAATTTTAAATCCATCGCTCAAGACGGATATCTGTTATGTAAAGGCAAACGATTCTTATTTGGGCGTGGAATTTATTCAACACCAAACATTGATGTCGCATCTAGATATGCTACCAAGTACACTTTTAATGGTGAACAATATTTAGTTGTATTTCAAAATAGGGTTAATCCGAATAATTTGGTTAGAATTTCAAAGAAGGAAACTGGAATTGGTGAATATTGGATTTCACCTGATGGAGCAGACTTACGTCCTTATGGCTTGTGTATCAAGAAAGTTAATTATTGATTTCCTTATGTATATTAATGTACATCAAAAACATTCAAATATTTAAATATCTATTTCAATTCGGGCATTTTTTTATTATAATTTATTTTTTTTTATTATTTTTTTTCAAAAAATTTTTATACATATTATAACATAAATGAATTTTAGCATAACATATTTATTTGTATTGTACCTAGATTTTTTTTTTGTTCGGAAATTTTTTTGTCATTGAATGACTAAATTAAATGTGAAATTTAACATTAGATATATCAAGAATTTTTTTCTTAATAAAATTCATTAATCGTTTGTTTATTTCATATACTTGATTTATTTATTTATTATTTCACAAAAGTTTTACATTTTTAAAAATACGCTTCAACTTTCCAGAGAATATATATAAAGGATTAAGATCTTAATCTTTTCAGTTTTGTTTTTACTATTCATTCCCACTAACGAATAAAATTATTCAAAACTTCACGCAAAATTCCTAAAATAAAAGTTCGATTTAAAGACTTGTACAGTCGCTTCATAAAGTAACGCCCGATTGAAATTATATAGTAAAATGTATATAAAAAAAATTTTATAAAGTTTAAAACTAATTAAGTTTTTGGTTTAAGTCTCTACAAGGTAGTAATCATTTTTTTAAAAATATAACTAACTAGCATTCAAATGTAATAAAATTTGGAAATAATTTGAACAATAATACGATTGTATATACGGTTTTAAAATTTTAATTTTTTATGTAAATTTTTTTTATAATAATAGACAGAAAAAAAATTTTTTCAACTTTTATAATTAAAGTAGCTCTTGCTTCTTAAGTCTAGGACGCCTTTTGGTTTATTTTTTGAAAGTACATTTGATTAGCCATAGATTGATATATAATTCAAAGTTAATTGTAAAAAAAAAATGCAAATATTTTGTAGTCTTAAATTTTCTATTTTTTATATGTTTATTATAAAATTTTGATCGGGCGTTACTTAGTGACGCGACTGTACAAGACATTGAGTCAAAGGTATCCTTAAAATTACAAAGGTGGAGGCGCGTTTAAAGATGGTTCGGATCTAGATGTTTTAGAAATCAATTTACCATCAAAAAAACGTGACAAAGTTCTTTGAAATTATCCAAAATAATTTTCAAACCGAAAATATTTGTCGCTAATTTCTCATACTACAAGCAAAAAAAAAAAATAATTAAAATAAAATAAACAAATTTTCAATACGATTTTATTTATTTAAAGGTTATTATTTATTATATTGCAAGAAGAGCAAAATACAAGTACAAGTGAAGGTATAACAAAAAAATTCGAACCATTTTATATTTCTTATTAAAGTGGTCAGGGATTGAAATTTTTTATCAAGGAAATTTTATTGAAAGAATTTGGGAAAAATTTTTCTCGTGGCGATCGTAGAAGTTCATTTTTTCACATAAAAAAAGTGAGGTTTATATTCAAAGGCCTAACAAAAAAAAAATATATACTCTTTTTTGCGATAATAATCTAATGAAATCTCATGAAAAAAGATTATGATCGATCATTGCCGCGAAGTTCTCATCATCAAAAAAACTTACAACTTTTATATTTTTATCAACGAAAATAAAAATTTA